ATTATAATAATTATAATTAATTATAAATTTGAAAAATAATATTAATAATTATAAATTATATATGCTTATAATAATACTATTATAAGAAATAATAATTATAATTTGTAATGATAATTATAATTAAATATAATAATGATTATAAATTAATGTTAATTATAATAATTGAACTAAAAATTATAATTATATGAAAAGAAAACAATTATAATTATAATAATAATTAATAAAATTTATATATGAAAAGAAAAATGAATTATAATCTATTTTAATAGTTATTAGAATAATCATTACATTGGAAAAATCTAATAATTATATTTCTGATTCAGGGTGTTGGCAGACCTGGACAATCTAATGCCAGGGACGACGACGAGGTGTACGATGATTATTATGATGGTTCTGGCACCCGACACACTAGAAGTCGGGGTGTCAATGCGTCCGTTCGTCGGGAGAGGGACGCGGAAAGGCAGGCGTTGATCGATGAGGCTCGTAGGGTACAGCTTCGTCAGGCGAGCCAGAGTTCCCGCCCCCCCGCACCAGTGCCCACTGGTCCATATCATTTTGAGGGCCAGCCAGGTAGTTCGCGACCCCACGGAGCCATCCCGTACGGCGAACATGGATTTTATTATCCTGGCCAGGCGGGCAGGACGATGCCCCCGGCACCAGTACCGTACGATCAGCCGGGATGTGATTTTCCCCGCTTCGCAGGGAAGTCGTTACCCCCCCGCGCACGCGTACCATTACCTTATAGTCAGCAGGAGTATGCTGATGATGAGTCGTACGGCGAGAGGGAGCCGGGTCCAGAGGACTATGACTCGGACGACTCTTTAGATTATCAGGACCACGCACAGCCTACGGGTCCTATCCACCCTCGTCCTACTGTACAGCCAGTTCGTCCGGTACAGCCGGTTGTACAGCATGTTCGTCCGGTACATGCTGTTCGTCCCACACAGCGTGCTCCTCAACGGCAGGCTGGGGGGCGTTTTGGCCCTTCTGCATCCTCATCAGGTAAATAATTTACTTATTTATTGTTGTTTAACGTAAATTATCGGTACTGTTAGAAAAGTATTATCGGCCTGCTCGTCAACTACAGTATAATTATTTTGTAATTTAGGGTAAGTTGAATAAATTGTATTTAATTATAAATTCAAAAAATAATATTAATAATTATAAATTATATATGCTTATATTAATAACGTAAAACGTAAAATGCAAATGTAACGTAATTAATAAAATATTTTTTATTAAATATATTTTATTTAATGCATCTGCCAGCAAGTCAATATATACAGATATGTTGTATTTTAATG